TTTTTTTATTATGTTTTTGATTTTTTCTTTAGTATAGTTTTAGAATAATATTTTTTTAAAAAAAATAATAAATAAAAATTTAATTATATACAAAAATGATTAAAAATTTTTTATATTAAATAAGATCATAAATAATATTACAAATCTGTTCCATATTAAGATTTATCTTTTGATAACTTATAAAAGAGAATCATGCATAGTACATATGACCTAAGTAAGAGAGAAATATAATATTAGAATATTGTAACTAATTATATAAAAATATATAATATGCAATAAATATAATAAGTTATATTTGTAATCAAAAATAGTATTTTAGATACAAAAAAGTAGATAAAAATAAAATAAAAATGTAAAGACAAATTATACATCTTTAAAAATATTAAATAAATTATTGTAAATAGTATTAAATAGGTTTAAAATATAATAAATATAAAGCCATATATGTAAGTAATAAAAGTTAATATATAAATAAAGACTAAATTGGTGCTTAGAAGTAGCAGTACTTTATTTGTTTTATTAATAATAAGTCTTATTGCAGTATATTATTAATAATAAAATACTAACACTAGTATTATTATAAATACTATAAAATTTATAATTACTAATATTCATTTAAGGTACTATAATTTATTCTACTAGATTTTATTAATTTTAAATAACTGAAAGCCATAATTACCTACTAATATACTTTTTTATAAAAGTTACTTATTGTTGTTTATAAAAGATTTTAAATTGTAAAGCAACTAAATCAAAGAATTCTGAACTCAACAATATATTTTAAGTACAATTTAATAATTTTTAATACTTTTAGTATTTTAAAATTGGATTTAGTTATAGTTATAACTATTTAGTCATAGTTATTAACTATTATTAATACAATCTAGTCAGAATAATTAAGCTAACTGATTAACTAATATTATATTTTTAATAAAAATAATAAATACTTTAATTATTATATAATTAAATATAGAATAATATTAGCAATATTATCTGATTATCTAATCAATAAAAAATTTATTATTTAGAATTTTAATTATAATTAAAATTATTAAAAAAATATAAAATTAATTTGTTTTAGATTTGATTAAATTATTTAAATATTTAATTAGAATTATAAATAAATAGTACAAGAACTTTTTATTAATTTTTATCTATATATTAATCAGATTTAGTTAATAAAATATAATTTATACTTTTAGAACTAATAATTTTTTTTATATTAAGACTAGTGTTAATAGTAGCTAATGCTTTTATTTGTGTTTTTAGTTAATATATTATATATTATTTGTACAGAGTAAGCATACAACTAGCTATATATATAACTTTTGGTTAGCTATTTAAGTAGTCTGCCTAAAGGTTTTACACTAGTTGTTATATTTATAATTTGCTAAAAAACTATTTAATTAAACACTCTAGTTACTATATTGCATCTAGACAATTAGTTATCTTAGTTCTTGTATATTTAAGTGCTATTTAACCCAATATTATATTTTTCTTCTGTATATCTGTCAAGCTGTTACCTAATTTTAAAGCATATTATTTAACTGTAAGGCTTAGAGAGCCTCTTTGTTAACTAACCTACCTACTCTATAGACTATTAACAAGGCTTGCTCTTGCAGTATTTATTCAGATTCTAGCACTTACTTTATAGCATATTCTTAGTACTTTTAGTATACTCCTGACTTTTTTTTGAACTTTTAATTCAGATAGCTTAGTAGAATTATAACCAGTCTATTGGTATATTAGATCAGTCTAATATTCTTTTTCTCTAATTCTCTTGATTAGAATTCTGGTGATTAATTAGTAGTATTTTTTATTTAAAGGTTTTTGTCTGTTCAGATACTTCTTATATTGGTTTATATTTTCTAGGTTTAGCCTTTACAGTAGTACTATTAAAGATTCATATTACCTTTCTAATTAGGGCTTTCCAAATAGGCTTTTTGTTTTCCAATTTCTATAGATTTATACAGTTACAAAAACTTATCTAAAGTTTGTATTGCCTAATATCAGTATGCATTTCTCTATATAACTAGTTATACAGATGCTTTATAACTTGTCAATTATGCTAATATAATTATAATTACAAATATCTTAACCCATTTATTAATAACAGTTGCCATCATATAAATATTATATAGCTGATTTTTAAATTTTTATTATTAATAGATTTTGAACTCACAACCTACTATTTGAAGAATTAACAATTTATCTACTTTACTAAATTGTCACACTTCTAAAAATAAATCTTTAAATGTATTATTATTTTATTTATTATACAAAAATGCATAATTTTTTAATAATTTAACTACTAATAAAATTGAACCAATTTGCTAAATAATTTTACTTAAATTATATTATGATATTTCTTAATATTATTTTAAAATTAAAACATTTTATTAAGTTCTTTTTGAATTTTTATAAATAACTAATAATTTTATATTTATATAGAATACTTTTTTAAAAAAAAACTTTAATTAAAAGTATTTTAACAACTATTTAATCAAATTCAATAATATTTTTTATTAGAATTTTATAATTTCATAAAATTTAAACAAAAAAATTTATTAAATTTAATTAAGTAGTTATCAAAATATTTTTAATTAAAGTTAGAAAATATTTGCTATAACTATTATTTTGATAAGCATTTATATTTTTTAAAAAAGTTTAATTAAAGATATTTTAATAATTACTTATTTAAATTTGATAATTTAGGACCAATGGGTCAATAGTGCAGTGGTTAGCACTCTTGAGTCTCAATTGCAAGGTTGTGAGTTTGAGTTCAAAGGGCAACAACAACTCTGCCAGAACTATAATTAGAAAAAAGATTTGCGGAAGACTTTTATTTAAAAGCAAGAACAAGATTTATACAAAAAGAATGCAGTTACTGGCATAGCCACAGGGTTGAGGACAACCAGATAAGGTGTAATCCATCAACAAATGATGCTAACATTGAGAAAGCCTAATTTAAGAATACATAACAGTAGAATTAAGGACTATGAAATATAGACAATCTGGCTAGTAGATCATATAAAGTTAGGAAACTGCAGACCAAAAAGAATAGTAGGTCTTACACCACAGGGCAGAATCTAGGATGTCATTTGATGAACTTGATGAAACATGAGTTATCTTACGAGTTCGGTGACCTGCAAGGGCCACATGCCATCCAATAATCTTCACAGAATAATAACTTTGGCCTTTAAGAGATGTGACAAATCCTAAAGATGTCTAAGAACCTTTAGGATAGTGAAAGAAGGTAAAAAAAAATAAAAATAAATTTGATAATTTTTTATTTAAATTTTATATACTTGTAGAATTTTAATAAAAAAATTTATTAAATTTAATTAGATACTACAGATTAAAAAAATAAATAAAGATTAATAAAGATTAAATAATAAAAAAAACTGCCATTATTCTACTTTATATTTGCCAAATAATAGCAATATAATAGCAACATAATAGCAAAATAATAGTAAAATAATAAAAGGTTTATTGATATTAATAATATAATAGTAACATAATAGAACAGTTCTATTATTTTATTTTTAGTCTTTGTAACTGAAAATAAAATAATAGAAATGTTCTATTATTTTATTAATATGTTATTATTATTTTACTAATATTAACAAATCTCCTGTTATTTTACTATTATTCTACTGTTATTTTACTGTTATGCTACTATATTTAGTAAATATAAAGTAGAATAATATTAGATTTTTTTTTATTATTTAACTTTTATTAACCTTTATTTATTTTTCTGATTTGTATAGTTGTTAAAATACTTTTAGTTAAAGTTTTTTTTAAAAAATATAAAATTTATCAAAATAATATTATTCTAAATTTTTTTTTAACTTTAATTAAAAGTATTTTGATAACCACATGACCAAATTTAATAATTTTTTTTAAATTTTATTTATTTGTAAAAATTTAATTAAAAGTTATTAAATTTGGTTAGATAGTTATTAAGACATTTTAATTAAAAAAGTAAGTTATATAGATATAAAAATATTAAAAAAAATATATAAAAATATTAATATTAATTAAAAATTTTTAGTAATATATAATATAAAAATATAAATCTAATATATAACTAAATATTATATTAATTAATTATTAACTAGTTATTTAATTAGTTATTTAACCAAATAACTAATCACAAGTAATTAGTATAATTATTATTATCTAATTTTTTTTAATTTATATTTATTTTAGATATTTTTATTTTTTTCTTTATTTATTGTTATTTTATTTTATAATTATTTTTTTTATTAAACACTATTTTTTATTTTTTATTGTTTATTTGTATATTTAATTTCTAAACATTGTTAGACCCAGAACACATGATCAATAAGTCACCAATTTTATTGTAAAATTATTATTGTAAAATTATTAGTCATAATTCTGTTTTAGCTAGGAAGATTTTACCAAAGTTTGAATACCTGTGCTTATAATGATTATAATGCATATATTGTATATATTGATTATAATCAGTATAATCAATATATGTAATATAAGTGTTATTATTATTATAAGCATAATTATGGATATTGGCACTCTAACAATAAATAGAATATTGCTTATAAATAACCTATAATTTTATCCTAATAATAAGGCAGATTTTAATATAAAAAATTAATAAACACTATATCTTGTATATATCAAATAAAGATTTTTTGTAAGTAACTGTAGAAAACTACTATTATAATAAAATACTTATTTATAATATTAATAAATCCTATCTTGCTAGTATAGTATATCCTGACATAATAAGAAATATTGCAATTCTTGAGATATTAGAAAACTAACCTCAATGTAATGTAGGTTATTCTAGAATAATCTGATCTGAATTGAAAATGCTTACCAAATCTACACATCTCTTTCAACTAAAAGCCAACTGATCATTACACAAAGCTGACTTTCAATTAGTAACAGACTCACTAAATTAGGGCATCTTAATATGTATAATCAATAACTTTTATTATAATTACTATTTATATTTTATGTATAATATACAATTAAGGTAATTTGAAATCTAAATTTATCTATATAACTACAATACTAAAAATTTATTAAAAATATAATAAATAATCTACTTTAATAGTTTTTCTTAACTTTTATAAACTGTGTTTGTGTTTTATATAATATTAGAAAATATTTATTAATTGTAAAATAACTGTAAAGATTTATTTAACATTCTGTATTATTTGTTCTTATCATTTTATAATCAAAACAATACAAATTATTTGAATTGCCTTACAAGAATAAAAGAATCTTTTTTTATTAAATAATTGTTCAATTGTATTTAAAGCTAAGACAAATTTTATGTAAATTAGTAGAAAGTATTTTAATATTAACATGATTTTATTTATTTATCAATAAATTACTAAAACAATAAATAAGAACTTGTAAAGTTTAGAGTTTTAAGCATAGCATTTAAACAAAAATGCTTATTCTAATTGGTATAAATAGTAAAGAATAGCTGTAAATAATAGTATAGTATTGTAATTAATTTATATAAAAAACAATATATATTTAAAAAAATATATTTTTATCTTTGATAAGAGGTATGTCAATGGTTTTAAATAAAAAACAACCAAGTACAATTATAAAATATAATCAACTTTGTTTCTTTGTTTATTAATTATTATAAATTCATTTTCACAAATTCATTCTTATTGTTACATGTTGCATTTTCACATTGCCTATTGTAAATACATCTTTATAATCTTATATCTTCATTAAAATTTATTCTTAAACTGGCTATAGATTTTTTTATACTTTAATTTGCATTTCTTAAACTCATATTTAAGAATTCCACCTGTTTCTGTTTAATACCACTCTTATTTCATCCATCTTTAATTGCTTTCATCATAATTAAACTGTTTTATTTTAATAAATTTCCTCAGATTAACTATCCTGATCCAACATGACATTGCATTATTTAATGCTCTTCCAACCTAATAGTTACAGTATATCCCAGTAGTATGATATAAAATTGCATAATTGTGTCGATTTAACTAGAATACCACCTACATAAGTGTTAATTAAAAAAACATTCGCTTTTCTTTAAAAAGTGCTACAGGTGCTATCCAATTTGGCAGATTTTATAAATAGGACGAATTGAATCACTTGATACAATCGTTGTGTGAGATTCAAATTACTGCGATCAGCAGATTTCATGTATCACTGGAAATCTAGAAAAGATACTAATTCATGATTGGCTAATAATTATTTGATCAATTTTTTTATATTGGCATTTTTTTAATTTCCGATGCGATACATGATCACAGTAACTTGAAAAGCACTGTAATAAAAAAATCTTGAAACATAGCCTTATTCTTAGACATTTTATAAACAATTGTGAAAGTTTCAAAGCAATTTATTATCTTGATAATGAGTTGAATAATTTTAGAAAAGTTTACTTAATAATATTTATACTAAACATTAGTCGTAATAATCTATTACTGAATATTATCTTCATGTAGCATAAAAATTCGTATCAATGAAAATTACATGAAACCAAAGTACAATGTGTCACACAACACATGAAAGAGTTTTATTACAGCGCTAACAAGATAGGACGGTTGTTAAAAATTAAATACTGCCAAAATTTTATGCTTTTCATAATTAATCATAAAAGTCATTATTTTTACAAATTTCTAGCACTTTTTTGCTTATTAATTGTAAATAATGGAATTTTTAGTCAGTATTGTGGACTGAATTACAGTTCATATCCAAAATTATTGCTGGATATTATCCTGCTTATAAATATAATCTAAAGACATCTAATATTCGAATTAGTTCGAATATTGAATATTTATATTATATTGGTACGTGAAATTAAATTATTGTAATTTTATAATATATAGATAAATTAAATCTTACTTTGTTTAAAAATTTTTTGTAGCATTTAGCCCAACTGATCTTACTAATGGTACTGGTCCATATCAAGTTTTTCAAAATCAAGAATTCAGAAATTATATTAATATGAGTTATCCTTATTTACATTATAAAGTAAATATATATTTAATTGCAAAGTCTTTCTCATCATCATGACTAACCTTTTATAGTTAATTATTTCAATCTTGTTGCCTACTGATGATACTTTAACAAAAATTCCTCCGTTTACTAACGTTTCTGTCGGACGGTATGATTCGCCCAGTCCATTTACTCAGCAATTTATTAATGAATTAGAAGCAATTGTTGGTAATTATTCATTCGATGGTGTAAGTTTAACTAACGTTTTGTTTTACATTATTCTCTTACATTAATCAATATCTACTAGTATTAACTAATTTCTGATTAATTTATAGGTTGACATTGAATATCCTAATAAGTTTCCATGCTTTCAAGCAACGCAATTCAATGCTATTTATTTGGATTATGTTTTCACACAGCTCCTAGTCGATATTTCAAAGAAATTGAAACCAAATAAAAAAATTCTAACGGTTACGGCAGGCCAATATCCTATATCTGGTTTGGATTCTAGCATCATTAGTTTTGTAAATATTCAACTTTTTTTTTTAAACAATAACAATATGAAATTATAGAATATCCGCCTATTCGTATGTGTTTACGACAAATAATCTAACATATTTAATTTATAAAATTTTAGGCATTTTATCTTAACATTAATGCCAAATATGCGAGTGCTGGAATAGATAGTATTCAAAAAAATTTTAATGTTTGGAATACCAGCATACTCATACCAAATCTTGTTTTGGGATTCAATGTTGGTGGTATTGTTGAATTGATTAATTCTAATAATATTACAATGGATACTATTAATAACAACCTTACAATTATTAATGAACCAAATATTCCATACACATTTTCTGATGAATTGATTTCAGATCCATGTAGAGTTTCAGTATATGCATCTTGGTCATGGAAAATTTTGAGTCATGAATTATCACCACCTTGTTACGACAATGCTTCTTCTCCATGGACACGTGGTTTTGATAATATAGCCCAACAGCCATATATTTACTTACGACAACAAAATTCTTCTACAAGATTCTATTACGTTTCTTATGAAGACTTTCAATCATTAAAATCCAAACTTGATTTTGTACAGCGTGTCAATGCATTAGGAGTTGCAATTTTCGATATCACTAGAGACAGTTATAATGTACCATTACTGGATTTCATACCTCCTGATAATCGTTATACATCTAATCGTAATAATCTAGATAATTCGTACTTGGGATTAAAAATAATAGTTGGTGCAATATGTTCTTTCATTTTAGTTAGCGTATTAGTAGCTGGCTTTATATTTCATCGAAGACATAAAGCAAAAATGTCTGACCAATTAATAGACACAAGTAATCAAGATTGCTCCGATATAAGTCATTAGATTCTCTCAGATACAGATAATCATGTTTATTCTGATACAAATAAAAGGGATTGATAATTATCGCAAGTACAGTAATTATCTAATTTAGTATTGCAACTAATTAGCTAATCTAGTAAAATTTATGAGTGCTGCCAAAGAAACCCTGTCATCGGGCTTTCAATTATATTTTTTGTCCCAGAACGCCATCGAGTTTAATGAATTATATTTGCACATATATATAAATTAAAAGCCCGATGATAGATTTTCTCTAGACGGCACTATGGAAACAAACTGAACACAAAATATAATTGAAAGCCCACTGACAGGTTTTCCTTTGCAGCATTCATATGTACACACAATAGTTCATCTACAAAAGGCTATAAACAGATTACTCGGATTCAATACAGTTGTCCTCTCATACATTCACACAGTTGGGCACATAATTTTTTTAAAAATGTGCTTAACTGTACACGAAATATAATTGAATGTCCAATGACAGGTTTTCCCTTGGGCGCACTCATATGATATATGATTATATGGAAGGTGACTATATGAAGGGACGACTGTAATCGCTTAAACCTTTGACCCCGGTGTCATTAACTTGACAAATTTCTCTATTATGTTTAGAATCTGAATGTATTTTGGTTTGATTTTAAGTTACACTTGATCTTGAAATTTGGCCCGACCCGATAGAGAAACTTTTTAGGTAGATGGCTCTAATGTGTTCTTAAACCAATCAAATAAATAATTGTGCATTTATATGTAAACATCTGCGAAGATGCTTTAAATTTTAAAATATATACTTTACCCTCGTTATAGCGGACCTCGTTAAACCGATCCTCCATTATAACGGAGTGATTATCTAGAATATTTTAAACATTTTACTATACTATGTAATACTGCACAGTAGTGGATATTCATTTAACGGATGGAATTTCCCAGCCCGATCACTCCGTTAACCGAGGTGATGTTATCCTGCTCAACAAGTTAGTTTGTGCCTAAAAACTCGTTTGAACACTGTTTAAGCAAAACTGGTTACCGAACTCAGTTTATACAAATGTATCAGTATTAATAATTATGCATTAATTATGCTTGCTGTTGTTGTTATCACTGTTTATAAGAGCTAATTCGTGAATTCTAACTTATTTCATCAATTTCGTAACTAACTTTTAATCAAAGAGGCTAATTTTCGTCATGTCAACGTAATGCCATAATAATTAACCAGGATTCATTGATTTAAAAGTACATATTTCTTTTTTTGTATGAAATACATATGCTAAACCATTATTTTTCTTATCAACATACTATTAGTATACTCAAATAAATTTCGGTTTATTTATTAATAAGGTAAAACTGAAACAAGAGATTACGTAATACAATTATTATAAGGATATTGAATATCTATTCTTCACTTACAATGGTGGTGTCTTGCATATTATCATCTGATAAACCTTCTTTAAATATAAAAAATTCATCAGAAGCTAGCCTATAAATTGCTTCGGCAAAAGTCAAAGCACAATGATTATCTGATAATTGAATACTTGATAAATATCGATTTTCATGATCAGTTGATAACACCATTTTAATGGAAGGTGATTTAATCCACTTATCAATCATTTCAACTTCGCACGCACTAAGTGGCCGATAAATTGAACATACTATAATAAAAATTGTGTATGATTTAGAATAAAGAAAATAATCATAAAGTGTATCTGGATTATTTTTATAGTTATTTTTTAACCATTTAAAATATAATCGATACTGAATTGCCATAACAATTATTAGAATAATCGAGTACAACAAAAGTCCAATTACAACACCCAATATAAGCCACGGAATGTCTGAACTGTCTATTGTACCTGCAGACTGGACAAGACTAACATAGTTTGCATCATCGTCAGAAAAAGCGTATTGAAATGATAGAAGCCCAATTATTAAAAAAAAGTAAAATATTGAAAATGAGGGTATCATATGGGCAATAATACTACAATACAATATTTTCACTACAAAATAGTAGTAGGCTCCATAATTAAGAAGATTGAGTTCTTTATTCTCATTGAAATGAGTAAGACAAAGATAAATTGTCGTTACAACTGCAAGACAAAGTGAGATTCCGCAGGAACCTATAATACGTTCACGAAATTTTTTTATGGACATTATTTTACAAGTATATCAGTATATGGGCAACTATGTTAAAACTTGATGTTACGTATAAATAGATTTGAATGCACTGTTACACTTTGTAGCCTTTAAAGTGAGACTAGTATACCTTGTGATTAGTGATACTAATGTACTAAAGTAATCTGTAATTAGTTACCAATATATAGAGTAGATCATAAATCTGGTAAATATCCCTTGTAGAATTTTCATAACTTTATACTTGGATTTTTTATATTATAACCAGGGTTGCATGGACTGGTCAATAGTCAAGCTTGACCAGACCAGTTTAACCAATTTGACCAGTTGGTCAAAAGGTTTAGTATTGGTCAAATTAGTCAAATTGGTCAAATAATATATAAAGTATATATATATATTTGTTTATTTATTTGTATATTAAAATTATTTATTTAATAGGTTAGATCATTTGACCAATTTGACCAGACCATTTGACCAATTTGACCAGACCAGTTCGACCAACAAATTTTTGGGCGACCATTGATTTGACCAACCCTGATTATAACTATGAAATGCAGACATGCCATCCAGTTGAAATCAGAGATGGCGATGGTAAATGACCTGAAATGACTCAAATAACAAATGACTTGTCTTTGGATCATTTCTAATCCAAATAACCAAGTAGGTCATTTGAATTTATTGGTGGAAATAATAATTGACTACAATTCAATAATTTATTAGTAAAACCACACACTCTCTAAGTGCACACTCAAATTCTGACCCGAACATATATATGACTGCTATATTCTTATTGTTTTCTAAGTTCTCATAGAGGTTTTATGTAATTCGAAAATATTAGACGAGCTAAACTAGAGATGGGCAAGATATTTTCTTATCTATTTTATGTACAGTATTACTGCTTGTTATAATTTACAATAACATAATTTAAGATCAAATCAAGCTTATTTTGCAAATATCATGGTCATTTTTATTATATATTACGACTATAACGTAAAAAATTTAGTGACAATATTGGTTACTATATTATAAGTTATAATGCATATTGCTAATCATTTATCTTTAATTTAAAATCCTATTCTGTTAATTATTGTTAATTTGTTTTTTTTTGGTATTAAGATAAGGCCTTGTTTATATTTTATTAATAATTTTAATTATATACTTTAGTACAAAAATGCTAAAATAAACTAAGATTGTATACAATAAAAAAAAATTATATGCAAAATAAGAGCTCAGATTAGTTTATCTGTAATCTAAATTAAATTATTGCTAATTTGTATTTCCTATAGTCCTAATATTATTTTTAATAAATTATGTTATAGTCTACACTTTAAGTACTTCTTTTTATAGTATTTATATGAATTTTGTTTTCAATTTGCAAGATATATAGATTGGTATAACTGGTTACTATATAAAATATAGAAAATCTTTATTATACAGGTTTTCTATTCTAGTAACCCAGTTGGTACAACTATACTATTCCTTCAGTTTTCAGTTCTTTGTATAGTCTATAAACATTCTATTCTTAGATTATTTTTGTTTATTTTTAGATATAGTATTTATGTTAATGTGTTCAAATTCTTTGTATTTGTAGATTTCTATAAATATACATAAAAAAAATCAGTAAAAAAGAAACAAATTATTTTTAATAATTTTTTAATTTTTAAATTAAAATAGCCTAATAATTATTTAATCAAACTTGCTAAAAAAATTTGGATAGAATCTTTGTAAAGTAGTTTTGTAATATATGTATATGCTATTGATTGTATTTGAAATATACTATTATTTTATAGCTATACTAGTCTTGCACTAAAAAAAAAGTTAGTAAGTATTTTATTTATATTTTATTTTATTTTATTTTTTTGGTATTAAGGTGAGGTTATTTATATTTTATTATTTACTGTTCTGATAATGTTTTATATATTTATTATTAAATATTTATAATTTTTTTTTAAATTAAAATTTTTTTTATTAGACAAATGAATAATTATTAATTATTAAAGACTGTAGTAAAAGATTAAATAAAAAAAAATTATAAAAAAAATTATTATTTTACTTAATTTAGTTATTATTAATGCCTAAAACTTATAAAATAAATAAATTGCTATTGTTAATATGCAAAAACAAAATTATACAGTTAGACCTTTAAATAATTATATTTTATATAATTATATCTTTATATAAGTACATAAATTTGTTAATCAAATTACTATAAAATATAGAAAAAACTTCTATATAAAAACAATCTTTTTATAAGCATATTTTTAAAAAACTTATTATTATTCCAACTATATAACTATAGAAAGTGTTAACTGTATATAAAATTCTATAATAAAAACTTTAACTTAATGCCTAAAGATTTGTTATTATAGTAAAATGTATTTTTTTTTTAGTTTTACTATTGTTTTAATTATATAAAATTCTACAATCTGATTGATTAAGTTAACTTAAATTGAGCAAAATAATTAACTACAATCTGTACTTAACTAAAATATAAATAAGCTAAGTTATAAATATTAATTACAATATTTATGGTTTTTTGAGTTAATCTTATTAGTAGTTAAAAATATAAATTAAAAAATTTCTTTGTATTTAGAGTATAGAATAGATATGCTGATTTTTACTATTGAATTTTATGAGTTATATAACAATCAACAACAAATTTAACTAATGTAAATTGATCAGAAAAATTTAAAACAAATATTTATTTTAATTTATTATAAAATTTAAAAATACAAAATAATTTTAATAATAATTTTAAAATAGATATAAAAAATCATTATGTTTTTTTGAATATTTGATGTAATTTAAAATATTTAAAAGTTTAGAAATAAAAGATTATTACACTAACTTCAGACTTTATAAAAAAAACATTTTTTTAAAAAAATAAAAATATTATTAATAATTATTTTAATAAAAAGAAGTACTTAAAGTGTAGACTATAACATAATTTATTAAAAATAATATTAGGACTATAGGAAATACAAAT